TTACCATCTCATGTGATGTTGTTGGTCGATATGCGCAGTGATCGTATTCGTCCGTTATACAGTGGTTATAGATTGACACGCAGTGATCGTGTTCATCCAGTTTTTGTTGGTCGGTATACGCAGTGATCGTATTCGTCCGTTATACAGTTTGGTTATGGGGTGAGGCACACAGTGAACGTGTTCATCTGGTTGTTAGTATTCGTCTCATGTTTGAAGTTGTGTCACAAGGCACGCAGTGATCGTGTTTCCTCCAGTCAAGAGGGTCGTGACATGAAGCGTGCAGTGATCGCGTTTACCCTATGTATGATTGGAATATGCAGTGATCGTATTCATCCAGTTATGTGGGTTGGTTGAGACACACAGCACGCAGTGATCGTGTTTTCTCCAGTCAAGAGGATCGTGGCTCAAAACACGCAGTGATCGTGTTCAAACACGCAGTGATCGTGTTCAAGATACGCAGTGATCGTATTCATATGACATGTAGTGATCGTGTTGATAGTACCATGGGAACTTGTGATGCGGAGCACGCAGTGATCGTGGTTATCGTATCAGTCGGTTTGTTGGTCGAGATATGCAGTAATCGTATTCGTCCTATTACATGGGTTGGTGTTGTAGCACACGCGGTGATCGCGTTGACATCATTTTGGGGGTTGCTGGTCGAGATGCGCAGTGATCGTATTCGTCCTATTGCAGCACACGCAGTGATCGTGTTCATCATATTGGTGGTTGAAGTACGCAGTGAACGTGTTCTCCTCTTCTATGTGGATTTATTCCGTCTGGCACGCAGTGATTGTGTTTATCTCATCCGGTTGGATTTATGGTCGATGTGATTTTGGTTGTAACGTAGCACACAGTGATCGTGTTCGTCGTGTTTGTCCCATTATGTGATTTTGTTTGCAACGCCAGGACGCGCAGTGATCGGGTTTCCTCCTGTCAAGAGGGTTGTGGTGTAGAATATGCAGTGATTGTGTTCATCTTGTTACAGAGGGTTGTTGTGCCAGACACGCAGTGATCGTGTTCGTCATACCACATGTTCCCTAGCAGAGTTGTTTGGTCAAGCATTTCTCTTTCTCCCCAGTCGAGTCCTTTCTCAGAGTGCTGTGGAAATAGCAGGATGCAGATTTTGGGTGGTCACCCACAGTTACCCTAGTAGAGACGTAATCCCCAGCGGGGTGGTCTTCAACGAGATACTTGGTTAAGTTCCTCGTAGTCCCTGGTAGGGTATTCTTTGACAAGTCGCTTGGTTAAGTTACTTGTATTCCCCCATCTGAGTCTTTCTCAGGATGCTGCGGAGTCAGCATTAGAAGACGGTAATGCAGTTTGTGGGTCGTTACCCGTAGTTCCTCCAGCAGAATTATGTGTTCCAGCAGGGTGTTATTTCAATGGGTTGCTTGGTTAAGTCCCTCACAGTCCCCGACACGATGCTCGCCACAGGAGTTGTTTGGTTAAATTCCTTGTATTTTTCAGCAAGGGTGCTTGATTAAGTTCCCAATTTCCCCAGCAGGTATGTGACGGCAGTCGTCAGAATTGTCCTCTCAGAGTTACTTAGTTAAGTTTCTCGTTTCCCCGCAGAGTCGGTTGTTCATGTCTTCGGACATTGCCCCGCTTGGTTAAGCGTTCGATCATTTCTTCAGGATACGAAAGGTTGATCAGTGAAATCGACATGACAAGTGAAGTCAATATTCTCCCGCTGGTTAGCGTGTGCTTGGTTGATAAGTGAGATCAACAGAGGTTGATAAGTGATGTCAACAATTTCTCATTGTTTGGTGTATGCTCATTTCTTCGGAATGGAGTGGTCTGCGGACAATATCAGATTATTTTACAAAAGCAGGTTGACAGAGGAGTGGTTAGTTGTTGCCGTGACAACAGAAGTCATTTCCCTGAAGGGTTTTCCCCAAGCAGTAGTCGTATTCGCAATTTATTTTGCGGTTGGCAAATTTCCAGGTTCTTTCGTATCCAACCGTCTCGTACCGCGAATGTCTGAAGGTTTCACGCTCTTCATCCAGTCGGGTCCAAGTCGCTTGAATAGGGGCAGCTGTTGCACCCCAAAATTTGCCCAACCTTTTCTAACCTAGGTTTATGTTTCAATTGCATAACCATTTGCATTGGTATCATGTATATAGTGCATTCATCTGCATTGCATAGCATGAGCAAGTTATCTTAATCAGGGGATCAATGTGCTATTCTTATCTCAAGAGGCATATTCAGAGGGTTTCATTCATATTCAAGACTACTCAGGTCATCAGGGAAGAATTTGAGCTTTGAAGAGTTGACAGGTTGATCAGTGAGTTCTCTTCTATCTTGAGGTTGTTTGGGGATCATCAGTGGAAGTTTGAGCTATGAGCCAAGAACATGAGGTGTGTATGGATTTTATGAAGAGCCTAGATGATCATTTTTGAGGAGTAACCAAGTCATTGGAATGATTGCAAGAGCCTCAGTTGAAGTCAGTCAACTAGGGTTTTGTCTGGGTCAACACTGGGTCAATCCTAGGTCAAAGACTTGTTTTGAAAGGCATCAAGGATCATTTGAAGAATGTGGGATTCATTATTTGCTATATGGATATGGATATGGTGTTGTGCTAAAGAAAAATCAGAAGAAGTCAAGGAGAAGAGGAGTTACCGAATTAGGGTTTCAGTGTAAAATCCCCTGATTTAGGTCAAACTTCAAAGCAGTGTAGCTCAAGAGGCAAGCTTCATATGAATTCTTGGTCCACATGAAACTTGTAGAGTATCTTCATATCTTTAATTTGAGTGGTGGAAGTCATCAAGATGATTTATAGAACTCAAGTTATAGCTCTTGCAAGTTACAGGTCATCTGAGGGCACTGAAATTTGTCTGTGAAAGTTGTCTGTCTTCCAAGCAACGTTTGACCTTCAAGGAGATTTCAAATGGATTTATGGCCAATATGAGAGTTGTTACTCATTGTCTTAGCTTTCTATAAAGGTATGGTATGCCTTCATATGATTTGTGGAACTCTACTTATGGTCTTGGTAAGCAAAGGGTATTTTGGTCATTTGAGAATTACAGGTCATTTCAAGCCTATGCCCAAAACTCATACAAGGATGCTTCAAATGAAAAACTTCACAACATCAAAGTTGCTCAAAATGTCATTTTAAGTCTATAAAAGAGGTCATGGAAGTTTGGAAATGCATAGAACAAGACTTGATAAAAGTTGGTGGAAAATGACTTAAAAAAGGCATATAACTTGAAAAAGTTCAAGTTGGAAAGTGGTTTGAGAGATCTACAAATCCAAAATGGGTCATGTAATATACCAAATTGAATCCCAACAACATTTTAAAGACATTGGTTCAGCCACTTTTTTGAGTTAGGGTTTAAATTTTGGACTTGCTTTGTAAAGTTCTTTCTTGCATAATAAGGCAACTTTGCAAAATTCAACACAAGGCAAGGAAAGGCTTGTTTTTCACACATACACTCTCAATATCTCATATGAGGAGATTTTAAAGTGGAATTGAAGGATTGTAAGGACAATTGAGTCATGAGATGAGATATTTCAAAGTGTCATTACATGAGAATTTCCACATTCTTCCACCACATTCTAGAATCCTCTAAGATCAATCCAGAAACTTCTAGATCTGTCCATCATCCTCTATATATTGAATTGAGTCCATTAGTGCAAAAGGTTGGTGAAAAGAGAGATAGAGAAGAGAGAGAATTCCATTGTTGCTTCCATTGTAAGAAAGTGTGAAAATCTATATTCAACACCAATTTTGTTCATCCTTTTTCTTCATCCACAACCCATTGAAGCTATTGAGTGCATACATGCTGAATTAGAGAGCCATCCATGGAAGATTGAAGAGCTAGGGTTTGAAATTGCAAGAAGCATATCAGATTCGAATCTCACATTAGAAGTATTCTTCTTCCAACTTTTTGCAAACATAAATCATAGCATCATCTAAGGACCATTGGTGAGGGATTGCAAGTGCTGAATCAAGCTATTTCCCATCTGTTCCAACAAGAATTGTAGGTATGCATTTTCTCTTCTATCTCCATAATTAGGTGTTGTTAGGTTAGATTGTTAGTGTAAGATTGTTAGGTTAGGTTAGATGACTATTTTCAGAAAGATTGAGAAGGTTCTATGAGGTTTAATGGCAGGATGTTGAAACTTTGATGATCAAGATTAGGTTATGTAATGAGTTTTAATGCACGTGTAATAGCTTGTGGAGATCAGTGAGACATGGAGAGTGCATTAGTGCCATTAGAATTTTGAATTGTTAGGATTGATCTCAGTGTAATTTGGTTGAACCCATGCATTCGTGCTTTCTGTTGATGAGATATAGGAGGTTTTAGATGAAACTATGAGTGCAGTCATGTTCTTGGAAGAAAATGGCGCAATTTTGGTTTTGGAATTTCATGATTTCATCACTACAAGAAAATTTGCAAATTGCGACGGTTCACTTTGATAGATTACAACGGTTTTAACCATCGCAGAATCGTGTGTCGCGAGGCCGTATTACGATGGTTGTGAAAACTGTCGTACAAACCGTCGTTATTTTCACGATGGGTAGCTAACTGTCGTCATCTCCATATTGTGACGGTTTTTAACATCTTAAATTTTTGTTTTCATGGTTGCTTGTGAAAGTATATTGTGGCGGTTTGAACCGCCGCAATTTGCAAATATTTTTTTTAAAAAAAACTATAGTATATTGTGTCGGTTTGAACCGACGCGACTTGCAAATATTTTAAAAAAAAAACTATAGTATATTGTGGCGGTTTGAACCGCCGAAATTGCAAATATTTTTTAAAAAAAAAACTGCACTCATTTAGGATTCATAATACAGCTATTGTAGGTTACATTAATGGCAGTGACCTCAATAGGTAAATTTGTGAGAATCTTTCGAATCCTTAAAACATCTCCAGTGACCTCAATAGGTATATCATTTGCTATATTTCCTTCCAATGTTAACATTTTCTACAATGATGCTGCAACTATTGTCGGCTTAACAAGAGTGTAGTTTTAGGACACGTGACAGCTAAAAAACTCTACGAATACATAGGTTTTGATGAAAGCTTCCTCATGATGAAGCTGACAAATATGAACAAAAGTTTACAGACTTCAAACTCAATGAAACAAACTGTATGCCTCTCCTGCCTTAAAATCTTCATTTGCTTAAAACCAGGTTGTCTGCATTAGAAAGCCAAGTTCAACAGATTAATCACATACTTGAGACAGCATAGAAAATACTACATTGATATAACAGTAGAGCATGTGTGAAAGGATAAGACGCACATACACACTGAAAAGGCCCCTCACTTCTTCTTCATTAATGTTCTCTCCCAAGTTCCCAATAAACAGGGTGTTGCAAGGAGGATTATCTTTAGTGTTCTGTACAGAAAAATATTTCACGTTAGCACATTGCATTACCTGTCTATCATTGATAAACAATATTAAGGGAGGCATAAAAACCATTTATTAATAAACAGACAAAATCAATCCAGCGGAATTGATAAAAATTAAACACCAAAAAGATTAGACAATGGGGAGAAAACAACATCTTTGCATGATAGTAGCTAAGGTAAAATCAACTATGAATCTAAATGGAACAAATAAAACTTCTACTTTACCCTTTAAACATCTTATCTTTTCCGGTAGAGTGTACCGAACAGATTTAAACATTCATTCAACAATTTAAAGGTATGCATTACTTTAACATTGGTTTCATAGACAACTAAAATACTGATGAAATCTCTAAAATATGATTCTAAATCCAAGCTGAATATAACAATTAAGTCAACAACACATCACATCAAATCAAAGGAAAATTCTTCATCTTCCATATTCCCTTTGAGATACAATTTTAGAACTTTTCCAAGCCCAATCAAGACTTCAGAACAATTCGGGAGAGCAGTAAAATGCAGATACATTACTTCATCAATTTCTAACAGTAACATAGTAATACTATATACCAACGAGAACAGAGATCAAGCCCTCTTAAACAAAAGGAGAAACTAAATAAGAAAACATTGTAGACCTTATATAGTTATCATAATATTCAAAAATCCCACCTTCCCTATTTAAAAAATAGGATCCCAACACTCGACGCAAAGGGTAATGATAGAAAATTGACAGAAAGATAAGTGGAACCAAAGGAGCACTAACAGTTTGTAAGCCACTCTCACCTGAACCGGAACATAACTGCTAGGCGCAGCTATAGAAACTGAAGCAGGCATTGGTACTAGTGGAACAGGATAGCCTGCATATGGATCATAAGGAGGAGGAGGAGGTGGTGCCATATATCTAGACCACAAAAACAAACTTATAGTTAATAATATGGAGGAACAAACAAAAGAAAACTCTTATCAATGTTGCCAATCGCGGAGCTCAACGGTTTGTTCAAATTCTGCTACACAACAGTGCTATAGCTTCTATATAACAACATTTTGTACTACCAAGCATGTTGCAGAACAATTGCGATTTGTATAAATTCTGCTAGGATATAGTTTATATTTGTCAAACTATTCTTATATATGATAACTATATAAACAAACAAACAAACACATATAGGCAGTGTTAGTGATATCTTGTACAATGTAAAGGATATCTTGTATCTCAAACTTAACTTTCTCCAATTTCTCCTCACTAACGTGAATATTGTCAACATTCTGCTTAATCATATTCATAAACTTCAACCTTGATCGTCTGTGGTCATAAAATCCTCTCGTCATACTACCTTTTTTGCTTACTTGATCACCTATAAAGAGAGTCAACAATTTGTCAAGACAAAACATTTGATCATCCACACTATGTACACACATACAAAGAGTTATTCATAATTTTCCACAAGCTACCATACCAAATGATATGCATGAATAACCATGAGGAAGTTTGCAATCCATATGTGGAAGCATACATGTAACACAGGCAGCTAAAAATCTACCACAGGTGAAAAGTGGGCACCCATTTCATTGCAAAGTGCAAACGCAATTGTAAATTAAAAACATAAAATACATATAATTTCAATTCACAACTGAATAGAAAATATAGCTTCAAAAAGTACTTGCAGAGGACAGCATGAGGTATGATTAGACGACATCTGTCAGAATTTAGTGGGGAACAGGGATTTTTCATGTCATGAGACCATACCCTTAACTTCACGGTACAAGGCAATTCAGTAGTTTCCGCTACAGCCACAGATGTTGCGAGTTATGACTAGATTCGACTCATGATGGTTTGGATGTCAGATCCATCGTGTGGGGTATTAGTAGAAGCTGTAAGATTTCGGGATTCAGATACAGGTCTATGCAATTGGGAAAACTGACTCCGTAGACCTGATCTTATAGAAGATCTGGGTATGTTGATGCCGCCAGACATTGTTGTAGATGGCATTTCTGTGTCAACATTGGAAGTGGGAAGTGTATTAGCCGTTGCAGTAGAACTAATCTGTTGAGCTAGAGCGCCATGACTAACACCCGGGTGAGAATGCGGTGTGGGGATACCAACTTGGCTTTGACCCATTAACCATCCTTGTAGAAAAGGTAATTCCCAGCCACTTGTGTCTCTTGAAGAAACAAACTGATGAAATTGACCAAACTCTGAATGAACCCCATGATTTGCAGTCTGTCCCGATAGTCCGTGTAACATGCCATTGAGAGAACTTACATCAATAATGTTTTCGTGTTGCCTTCCTTCCAGCGGTCGAGTTTCATCAGTCTCCATACCATTCATTGTAAGGTTGCGGATGCCAATTCCCATTCCATTAGAGAAAGAAGAATGAGTGGGATATTCTGTACCAGGTTGAGAGTTAGTTGGAATCTCGGAGACTGTGTCCATTGGAGACGAAGTATCACATTGTTCTGTTACATTTGTATCTGCTTGAAACTGAACCACCGCAGGGGACTCAATTTGCATTCTACCCGAGCCATCATTGTGACTGACACGTTGTAATTCCTCTCTTGACTCATCAACAGTAAGCAAAGGAACAAAGAATAAAGTCGATGAAGCGTTAGGTGGTTCACTTGACAAAGTAACATGTTCCGCGGGTTGAATATTTGTGACAAAAATAGCAGGTGGGGGATATTCTAAATAACCAATAAATGCTTCCTCCGTCATTGAGGAATCTGAAGAGTCAAGATCATTGACCTGCGCATCAATACAAGCATGTTAACCAAAAAGAAAAATAAAAAATTTAAAATTCTGAATGGGTACATAGGCAACAAAAAACACAAGTTCATTCACCTCAGTAGTTAAAAGATATGGCGCAGCATGAGGGTGAAAATGCACAACCCGTAGAGACCACCTAGTCTTCAACACAAAAATTGGTGAGTAGGATGCTTCACTTTTCTTGTCGTAGTGCCATATGTACAACTACACAGTGTTCAAGAACACAATGTAAGGACATAAAAAATCCATTAAAACGAAGTGTAATAAATTCATTAAGGATTTTTCATTAAGGTGTAAACAGCTACACAGTGTAAGGACACAATGTAAGGACATAAATTCATTAAGGTGTAAACAACTTGAAATTTCTCCCTGTCACCATACCATCGCCTTTACCTTTACCTCTTGCACTTGTTCTTTAAATATCACCAGTTTGCTTCAATTTGACTCATTGCCTTTACCTACTTTGTTCAAGGCTAAATCATAGCAGCTAGTATTTCACTTACTGAGTAGGGTTACTATAGACCAACTCTGCAGTTCCCTCTAAACTTTGATTTTCAGATATATGCATAACTTGAGCTACCAAGGAATGATTGACTCAAGACTTTCAAGTCATGACACTTATACCATGTGAAAATTGTATGCAAAATCTTGGCATCAACTTCCAAACCTAAGAATTATTCCATCTTAACTGAGAACCTCCAAAGCTAAAGGAGCCTATTCCTTCTACATTTTTCCCATGACACCAAGCCTAAAAACCCATTTAACAGAAACACAAGTTCTGCATATTTATACAGAAATTGCAAGCTTAAACCAAGGGAAGTTTTAGTGAGAATCACATAATTAAGTGATATGAATTGGCATAAAGTTGCTAGTACTTTAGATCCACACCTAAGCATTAGTGAGAATCACAGAATCAAGTGATATGAATTGGCATAAAGTTGCTAGTACTTTAGATCCACACCTAATCATTTGGAAGCCTAGGCATCCAACTCCTAATTTCACCAAGGGAAGTTTTAGTGAGAATTACAATATCAAGTGATATGAATTGGCATAATCTTTATTCTTTTATTTGGAAGTTATTGATTAAATTGACTTGATTGTTCTTGATTGGATATGCTTGGTAATGGTGCATGGTGCGGCGCAGAATCCATATGTGGCTCAGAATCCATTTGCATAGATCTTTGAACCTCGGCTTTGTTAACATTTCTTCAATTTTAAGGCTAAGAAAATCTCTTGGGCAAGGCTCTAACAACTCCAAAGTTGTAAATTTTGACCTGTTCAAAGTAATTGCTGTTGTTCTTATTTAAGGCTGCAAAAGTAAGTATTTTACGGTCTGTAAACACAGTAGCAAAGTTATTGAAAAGCCAAACACTATTACCTTAACTTTCCATAATCATCCATCAAAATCAAAATCGGAAAATTATAAGTGTAACTAAATCCAAGTAGTACCTTAATTTGTTTGAGCCTAATTGCCAAGTGCAGAGTTGTATTGCCTTCTCTGTCTTTCGCAAGCAAGAGCTGTTTATCTACTCTAACCGATTCCAATAACAACTTCAATGACTCCAAATGGTTATACAAAACACTGAGCATTGTCCCGACCAAACTACTGAGCACAGGCCAGCAAAACTCCAACAAAGGTTCCGTGAGTAGGCCTAACACCAACATAAATGAAAATAAATTAAGTGCGGAATCTGCATGACCATTGATAGCAAGGCCTGTGATCACTGATGTCCACGATACCGAGTCCTTCTTCTGCATCTCTTCAAACGCCGCCAATACTTTCTCAACCCTCTCCACACTTGCAATACATATCAATCAAAGCATTTCCAACATAAATATCTGTCTTCAAATCATGTTTCCTGATATAGTCATGAACAACCTCTCCAACATCCAGTGAGCCGATATGAGCACACGCAGAGAGCACGGTGGCAACCATTATTTTATCCGGCTTCACCTTAGTTTCCATAATTTCTTTGAAAAGTCTCACTGCCTTTGCAAACTAACCTGCTTGAGAGTAACCGGTGATCATAGAAGCCCACGAGATCACATCCCTATGTGGCATATCATCAAACAATTCCCTTGCAGCAACCAAGTTTATTGCTTTCCCATAACCCATGATCATGGCATTCCAAGAAACCATATTCCTATCATGCATTCGATCAAATACTATAGAATGACTGTGACTTCTATAAGCTAGAAATCTCAATTTCAGCTCCAGACAATGATTGTTCTATAGACAGCCATGGACTCCTCGTGGTCTTCTTTTAATGGAAGAACTCTCAAGAAAACAGGAAGGACTTGTAAAATGGAACTGAGACATACATAGACAATATCCAATAAGAAAACAGTTACCAAGTACAAACAACAAAATTAGAGGTGCAACATGCTATAAGTTTATAAATTCATATTTAATTGAGCGAGAATGATACAAATTAAGCAGGAAACCACCTGATTTAAAGGAATAGACTCAGGGTGCACCATAATCATCTTTGCCACAGCACCGGCGGCATTATCCCTCACTGCATGATCAGGCTCAGACTCACTAAACAGGGGGTGAAGCCCACGTAATATATTGTCAAAGTATCTAGTATTGGATTAAAGAAAATGCAAGGCATACAGGATTCAACCGTAAGAACTAAATACATCACTAACATTGATTGACATAAATAACCATATAAGCCTACCCCCATAAGCTAACCTAAAATAATAGAAAGATTAGTGTATATCAATCAAAAGAGTAACATGAACAGGATACTTCAAAGCTGAATCGCCACCATTTTTGCACAACTCCCCAACTCAAAATGCAACATTCCTTCTATTTGTTGCATCAGATGACGATAATTCTTTAAGCACCAGAGGCATCACTCGCTGAGAAAATAATATCACATTTTACAAAACAAAAACAATTCTCATAATGCTAACACTTATAAAATTAAATTAAAAATCCAAAAAAGGCAAAACATAATTACATACACATAGTCTGCAATAGGAAAACCCATGTTCTGAGCAACTTCAGCAATGCACACAACAACCATGGTCCTATCTTGAGGGGGGCGGAAAGCTTTCTGCATTTCAAAGTGAGAACATTAGTTATGATTTAAATCTACATTCTAACAGTAAAAATTTTGGGTTT